TTGGTGGGGCCCCTTAGCAAAGATACCTTGTGTGGGTTTTTTGTTCAACGTGATTACATTGACAAAACAACCAAGATGGAGGCTTGCTAAGAGAGATCTAGTAACGGTGAGAAGAACTCAGAGAGCAGCTATCTACAGCTTCAAGGATGGGGAAAAAAGGGGGAGCACTTTCCCCAACCCATTCCCTGCACCCACAGCTGGGTCTTAACATGCTGCCAACGTTCTGGTCACAACAGGGTGAGGTCTTGCAAGCTTTCCTGCAGCACCCCTCACAGGACCAGACCATGAGCACAACCAAGGGCGCGGATCACTCGTCATTCCTAGATATAATGCAACAAAAGCCCAAGATGGCAGACTTACAAGGTATTGCTTCTGACATTAAATCAATTCTCTCCTCTACCATAACAGATCTCAAGGAAGAACTCCGTTTTGGTGGCGGCTCAGCTGGCTAAGGTGGAACACTCCACTGCCCGCTATGGAGGACTCCATTTTGAAACTCCAGCACATGTCTACCCACCACAACATACAAGTAGGGGCATACCAGAATCAGTCGAAGTGGCCCAGATATCACAAGCTTTGCCAATTCTGTTCAAGAACCTACTGGAGTAGCTGCCAGATTCTTCAGTGGATTTGAAAAGGGCCCAAACAGTCCTCTGGTCACTAATGGGGGAATAAGACCCCTCTGAGAGATATCATGTGCTGTTTTACAGATTTTCACCTTAAAGAGGAAATACTGTGCATGGCTCTGGAAAAAGAGGAATTAATTTTTAACTGGTCAGAGGTGCAAGTCTTTCAGGAGCTATCCACATAACAATACTTAATTTATAGAGCCCTCTGGCCCCCTCCTACCATATAAATGTCCTGTGAGAGAAGCAGATCCCCTACCATTGGCCCTTCTCCTTTAGCCTATCAGCAATGAATATGGGGAGATCGGCTGTCCTATGACTCTCTGAAGACCTCAAACAATTTTGTGGCACCATGCACATTCCTGTATTGGAAGTCCTACAGTGGTATTAAGAATTCTAGCTAATTGACACATGGCCAGACAAGGGCATATACAGGAGAACAGACAGAGAGAATCTAAAAATGAACAAGCTAAATCCACCCCCACAGTTGAAGAAGGACAAGGCAGCTAAATAGCCTTCCCAGGGCTTTTTTCTCAAAGAAATAGGTGAAGAAACTCCCCCTTTATGAATCACTTCTTTTTTTCACCCCCCCCACCCACCTCCGAGCACCGTCCCTTTGTTCCACCCCCTACCCACCTCCTAGTTCTGCCCTTTTTAGAGAATACAGAATACAGTATCATTTTGTGGTGCTAAGTAATTCAAAAAATAGACCTTCCAGCACACTCCAGCACCCTTTGCCATTACATACATTTAGTACTAGAACTGCATTCCCCCATGTTCGCACTGAAAAAAAGCCTGAGCCACCCACTTCTCCATCTTAAGATCTGGCTGGATACTTGCTCTGTTTACAGTCTTATATCAGATAAGTACTTTTACCTGTTTGGTTATTCACTACACTATTACTAGAGCTTTGTGTGGGAGAAGAGGAGAGGTTTACTGTTGCTACCTGCTCGCAGTTTCCTGTTGGGGATAACCTTCAATCCCTTGCCTTTCACTTTGGCACATAGACTTAGTAACTGCTACTGACCCACTTTCTATATTGGCCTTTTGACTTGGAGTTCGCTTTTGTATATTCTCAAGGGCCAACTTATTTCATTATGTGCCTCCCAAGAAATGAGCGGTTTATGGACTGGGAGCTGTGGAGCCAACCTTGCACCTCTGGCTCCTCTGGGCCTGGTGAATACCCTAGGAACAGGGGCTCCTACACTGATTTAATGTCTATTAGGATTGCTTGGTCTTCCTTGACAGCCCCCTAGTGGTGGCTTGGAGGTGGCAGTGCCCCAGCTCTACCTGTCATGGCATCAGGCACTCATACTGTCTGGATAGTGCCGTTTTAGAAATCCTGCCCCTGGGAGGGGTCGTGCTCTTCAGAAAGGACCTCACTCCTCAGCTCACAGTTTCATATACAGTATTTGCCAACAGGCCTAGTCGGTTTTCCCTTGTTCAATAGGGGAGAACCGAGTGGACCTGGATATGGCAAATGATATATGCTTACTACTTGATGTGTTAATTAGCAGTTTAGTCAGATAGCAAAGACTTCTGTTTCTTGGGTTGTCATGTTGCGGGAAGGCTGATGTGACTAAGGGACCACTGTTAGTCTATTAGATTTTGTATTAAGGCCTTTAGGCAACTCCACCATGCACAAGTTTGTCAGATTAAATGAGATGAAATGATTTTGCTACCCCATACGTTATGGTTGTCTATGCAGCACACATTAGGCTCTCAACCTATTAACCTACAGTATTGTGAATAAACTCCTGCACTACCCACAAACTATTAATAATATATGTGAGTTACCAGCCACTGCTAGTATCGACCATGTGTTCCCATATCCACAAGCTTATAAACAGAAATGACGCTACGCTGCAAAATAAAATTACCAAACAAATACTGTTGCCACAAAATTCCATAAATGACAATAAAATATCAAAACCATAAATTGTGTATGCAAGTCTGTTGTGCACCACAAAATAAGTAAATAAAGTTCATACACTTGTGATAAATCTTGTACTGACTCGAATTAAATTGTGCCCATGAATCCAGCGCTGCGCTTCCACAATATTAATTCATACATTCTCCACTTTTGTGCTTACTCTGCCCTCCCTTTGGCATATGACCCATATATTTCAGGTCATATAGTGAGTCTTAATGGGTGAGTTTTTTGTTTCAACTGTAGGGAGTGGAGTTTTTTTTTTTCTACTGTACCACCCAGTCTTCTTGATTTGTATGTGATACTTGAAAATATCAATAAAAACACTATGGAAAAAAAGAACTACACAAAATATATAACTGCTACACTGGCCATTTGGTCATTTCATGTTAATATAATCATCTTCCTATTCCAATTTTTGCAGTCTTTAGTGAATTTCTAAACTGTCAAAACTGCAAATGCTTTACTGTGATGTGAAACCTGAAAGCATTTTGAGCAGAAATATCCCCAAGAATCTCATTTATTGTTTCTGCAAATGCCTCACCACTTTTTCCAGATATCTGTTTTGAAATTACAGATCAAATTACAGGCATCCTCTGGAACACAAGCTTTATCTGCTTCCCTTCTGCCCTATAGCAGAAGTACTGCTACAGGGTAGCACGGGTGCGCAAAATCACATATATATTTTTGTGATTTTGCATTTCCAGGTAGGGGGTGCACTAGAGCCATGTCCATGCCCTACCCGCGTCGCCATTCGTGGCCTCACCTGTCAATCACTGGGTCCCGGCTGGTGATTACTCACCAGCACCCTGTTATTGCTGAGCATCTCCGATAGGCGGGGGGGGGGGGGGGAGAACTGTTTGTAAACAAAACAGTTCTCTCCCCTGTCAGCTCTTGCACACTGGTTTGCATGGCTGTGCATAGCAGTTTGCTTACAGTGAAGCACACACACACAGCCACACAATTACAAACAGCACACAGCACGCAGTTAACCGATTGATTGCTCCACATGTTAACCCCTTTCTGCCCAGTGCCATTAGCAGTGTCAGTGCTTTTTATTAGTACTAATCACTGTATTAGTGTCACTGGGGATGTCAGTGACACCAAGTCAGTTCCCCCCAGTGTCAGAATGCCTGCTGCAGTCCCGCAGTCCTGCTATAAGTCGCTGATCACCACCATTACTAGTAAAAAATTAAAAATTAAAAAATCCCAGTATATACACTTCCATTTGCAAACGCTATAAATTTCACTTAAACCAATTAATTTACATGTATTGGGGTTTTTTTTTTAGCAAAGACATGCAGCAGAATACATTTTGGCCTAAATTTATGATGAAATTTGATTTTTAAATTTGTTTACTGGACATGTTTAATAGCAAAAAGTAAAAAAAAAAATATTGTTTTTTTTTCTCAAAATTGTCAGTCTTTTTTTTAATAGCGCAAAAAATTAAAAAATGCACAGTCGATCAAATGCCACCAAAAGAAAGCTCTATTTGTGGGGAAAAAAAAGGATGTAAAAATGTAATTTGGGTGCATCATTGCATGACCCTGCAATTGGCAGTTAAAATAACGCAGCGCTGCAACGTTTAAAATAGCCTGGTCAGGAAGGGGGGGGTAAATCCTCTGGAGGGCAAGTGGTTAAATTAGGCAAGATATTTTAAGGTTCATCCGTACCTAAAGGATTAGAGACACTACAGCTTTTTTACTACAGTAGTAAGATCGTACAGATGTCTATAAGGAAGGCTGACATTATTTGGGAATACTTTTGAGAAAGGGAATGGAAGACAATTACAGAACACAGCAAAGTAGAAGTATAAGATAACATACATCAAAGACAGAAAAACTGAATAAACAACAAGTACATTCACATATGTCTCATGGTGAGGGTGGGACTCATCAGTTAAATAACAGTCATACAAAACATTAATGAGAGCTTGATCTGGCCACATCGTGGCCAAATGACATGTATATAAATGACCATAGTAGAAAGTGTTGAAGACCATAAGTCAACATCTTAAACATGGACATCATGTGAAGCATATTCAATACAAAAAGATCACATAACAGAGTGGGTGAGAAAAATTGCATAGTTGGTATGAAAGTATCATCGCTATACATCTCGTACAGCATGATAGAACATTGTTGTGTAACATTGTGGTAGACCATGGACCTGCTAGAGCAATATATGTAGAGTAGATAAAGAATTATGAAACATCAGGGACGGATGAGGAGGTGCCATTAAAAGAGGAGAGGTCCCACATCTCCCATGTAGCATTGAATAGGCCCTGGTATTTACCAGCTAGATCCATCAAATACTCCAAAGATCTCAGAAATAAGATTTAACAAATGGTTTAGGTGGGGTTTCCACTGATTTCCAAAATCTAGGTATCTATCGTCTAGCTGCTGTTAGGATATGTACCCTTTTTTAGAGTTTGGAGATTCCCTTAAATAGGAGTCCTACAAGATAGGCAGGGTCAGATTATTAGCATGCAAGACAACAGGAGTTTTGTGCCAATGCATCAATATTCTGTATAGATTCTCCTTATAGGTTTACACCCCAAGAGGTCTTAGGAGCTGCATCCCATATCACCTGCGAACATTTTAAATAAATTGGATGCTGGAGGGCTTTTGCCCATTTGCTCATGTAGAGATGTGTGTTTCCCTCCAAAGGAAACTCATCCTGAAGGAGCTTGTAAAGTGACAATATGAGATGCATCTGTGTAGGCCCCTGCATAACAATTCGCTCAAAGTCAGAGGGACGTTCCAGTGTTAGAGAGGGGCCCAGAGCATGAACAAAATGTTGATATTTGAGGTAAGTATAAAAAGCCTGGGGAGGCAAAGAGGATTTCAACATTCCGAGCTCCTCAAAAGATCTTATCTTACGAGTAACTGGGTTAATTAAATGACGTATTTGAAATATCCCAGCATTTGCCCAGGGAAACATTTGGGTGTAGGACAGGCTAATAGGAATGTCTGGATTATATAATATATTAGTCAAGGGGAAGCAGGTAGATGATAGGACATTAGTCTTTACACAATCTAGTCATATCTTGACAGTAAATACCATAGAATTTAACAATGGGGTCTGATGTTTTAAAAGGAGGGAGGTTCCTGGAGGAAGCAAAAATGAGCATTGTTGAATAGGATTAATATGGTATTTTTCAATCTGCTATGGGGAATTTGAGAGAACCATAACAATGTTTGTTGAAGGTGAGATGCCATATAGTGTTTTGTTATGTCCGGTGCCCCAAGACTCCCTCCTAGATCTCGGAGATAACAATACCAACCAGGGCGGACTGACCATTGGGGAACTTGGACACTGCCCGAGGGCCCGGGGTCAGTAGGGGGCCCCATGAGATGTCCCTGGTACCTTTCATAGGCTTTTTTGGGTGTGATTTGAGTGTGGGCGAGGACACAGGGGCCCCATGATCCCCTATTGCCCGGGGGCCCATGAGTTGTCAGTCCGCCCGATACCAACTTTACTATTCTGGGTTTTTTAATTATGCCAAATAAACCTAAGAAAAAGACGTTGTAGGGAACGTAACTGGGATTTTGGGACTGCAACCGGTAATGTCTTAAAGAGATAGAGCAGCTTTGGTAGAATAGACATTTTTAACAAATTAATCCTGCCTAGAAAGGAGATGCCCCAATGATCCAATTTATTCAAAAGATTATATACTTTATGTCCCTAAACAAGGGAGTGAAGTTAGCTTCATATAGAGAGGAGTATTTAGATGTTATATGTGTGCCTAAATATTTAATGGAATTGGAGCACCAGTGATATGCATAATTTTGTTGTAGCAAATGTAAATCCTGGAACAGTATGTTTAACGGCATAGCCTCTGTTTTGGACATATTTATTTTGTATCCAGAAAGGTCACTGAAGTTTTGCAAAGATTGTGTGTAGGACAGGTAGGGAGATATGGGGTTTTGTAACTGTTAGCTGGACATCATCTGCAAATAATGACTCATGCCCCTGCAACTTCTTGATGTGATTTCTTCACCATAGCTAAGGGCTCAAGGCACAACACAAGCAGGAGTGGAAGCATCAGGCAGCTTTGTGTGGTGTCGTTAAACATTGGGAACATCTCATACATCGCGTAAGGCTTCAGGTGCATGAGCAGCTCCTAAACCCGAGTTTAGGAGCTTTTGGCCCTTTTTTTGCCAAAGCTCCTAAACTCAACTCCATAACAGCCTATGTGTCTATCTACACATAGGCTTTTAGCAGAGTTTAGGAGCTGCCGCATTTACAGTTGTGGCCAAAATTATTCAACCCCCAATGCTGTAAAGGGGTTTAGGGACTATAGTGTACATTTGGAATTGTATTCAGAATCAAATCCTACAAGGACGTTGTAACTACCCAAATGCAACTAAAATGACATCAATTGTTTATGTAATACAGTAGTAAATGGTTTCTTATGTGGTTTCTTCATTGCCACAATTATTCAACCCCTTAAAGACTACCACTCTGAAGAACAGAGGTTCATACAGGTGCTTTCCATCAGGTATTGAAAACACCTGTGGATGTCACCGAGCAGCAATCAAGCATAATAAGCACCAATTAGGCAGCTTTAAAATGACTGTGATACTCAGCTCCTTCTAGACATTTACTGGTGTGGTTACAAACATGGTGAAGGCAAGAGAATGGTCCAGGAAGACAAGAGAAGAGGTGATTTCTCTTCACAGGAAGGGCAATGGCTATAAGAAGATTGCAAAGATGTTAAACATACCAAGAGACACCTTAGGAAGCATCATTCGCAAATTCAAGGCAAAGGGCACTGTTGAAACGCTACCTGGTCGTGGCAGAAAGAAGATGCTGACTTCGACTGCTGTGCGCTACCTGAAGCGTAGAGTGGAGAGAAGTCCCCGTGTGACTGCTGAGGAACTGAGAAAAGATTTGTCAGATGTGGGTACAGAAGTTTCAGCCCAGACAATAAGACGCACACTGCGTAATGAAGGCCTCCGTGCCAGAACTCCCAGGCGTACCCCCTTGCTGTCTCCAAAGAATAAGAAGAGTCGACTGCAGTATGCCAAAAGCCATGTGGACAAACCACAAAAGTTGTGGGATAGTGTTCTGTGGACTGATGAAACAAAATTAGAACTGTTTGGGCCCATGGATCAACGCTATGTTTGGAGGAGGAAGAACAAGGCCTATGATGAAAAGAACACCTTGCCTACTGTGAAGCATGGTGGAGGGTCAATCATGCTTTGGGGCTGTTTTGCTTCTGCAGGTACAGGGAAGCTTCAGCGTGTGCAAGGTACCATGAATTCTCTTCAGTACCAGGAGATATTGGATGGAAACGTGATGCAGTCCGTCACACACCTGAGGCTTGGGAGACGTTGGACCTTTCAACAGGACAATGATCCCAAGCATACCTCCAAGTCCACTAGAGCATGGTTGCAGAGGAAAGGCTGGAACATTTTGGAGTGGCCATCGCAGTCACCAGACTTAAATCCGATTGAGAACCTCTGGTGGGACTTAAAGAAAGCAGTTGCAGTGCGCAAGCCTAAGAATGTGACTGAACTGGAGGCCTTTGCCCATGAAGAATGGGCGAAGATACCCGTAGATCGCTGCAAGACACTTGTGTCAAGCTATGCTTCACGTTTAAAAGCTGTTATAACTGTAAAAGGATGCTGTACTAAGTACTAAGATTGAATGTCACTTGGGGGTTGAATAAAACTGATAATGCTGTGAGCACAGAAAAGACATTTGTGGTTATTTCATTATAACTGTTATGTTATATTTGTCTGACCTACAAGTGCCTCTTTAATGTAAATGTAAGCAAGATGACTGAATGATCAAAAGCAATGTCAAACTGGCCAAAACACTCAATTTCAGTGGGGGTTGAATAATTTTGGCCACAACTGTAGGTGAGGTTAAACCTCCCTCTCCTGAACACGGAAGAATCCCGTTCAGGATAGGAACGTTTTTACCGCTGACCGTGGGGAAAAGCAGCAAAACCGCAGCAACCGAAGTATCACGTTTTTGTCGCGATTTGCTTTTTCCTGCGGCCGACGGTCAAAACGTTCCTATCCTGAACAGGATTCTTCTGCGTTTTGGTGCCCATTTTAAATTGCAAATGGCTTGAATAGCAACCATATATATTTTGTCATTTTTGTCTCTTCAACATATGACAGCTGTTTGATCT